ACAGTAGAAGAAATAAAATCTCTATGTACACTAGATACAGGAGAGTAAAAAAAGGATATGTTTTTTTCTCTGTCCTTCAGCTCGGAAAGCTGCATTTTTAATTCTTGAATTCTTGTGTTTTGTCCTTTCTTAGATTACGCTGTCCCCTGATGCCCGAAATACAGCATGGGTTTCATTTGATGGGAGGAAGAGACAGGAAATCTGCCATGGAGACAGGTGAGAATTTCTCTTTGGTTGCGACTTTTTAAGCATTGAGAGAGTTGTGCAGCCACACTTTTTTTTGAATTTCCCTCATGTTGGCTAGGACTGTAAGGTATTGGTGGTGGCAGCAGAAATTAATATTTTATAAGTCTTATAATTGCTTGTAAGTGGCAAGGTTAGCAAAAATGTTTTGGATACTCCTGCTTGGAAAAAAAATAGGCACATTTTTAAAAGCAGATGAAATGTTGGCAGGGGGGAAAAGGACATCCAAATACGACTTATAGAAAAAGGTCATGCCCTTAAAGAAATCTGTGAACTTCAGCTCATGGACTAGATCTTGGGACTGCTGAACACAGTGAAGTCAACAGGAGTAGCTTGTGCTCATTACCTCTCAAGAAGGCATTGTTTGGCACATACACCATTGAATAAAATTGCAGAGCCAATCTAGGAAAAAAAAGCAAAGGTCGTCTTCATAGAAAAGTAGGGCTGGAACAGACCTCCTGAGATCATCTGATCCAATGCCCTGCTTGAAGTAGGTTCATCCCTACCTAAGCCATCCCTTACAAGTTTTCCTTTAACTTATTCCTGTAGCTATACAATCAACCCCGCTGCACAATTATGAGGCATGTTGCCCAAAGGCACCAAAAACTCCATAACTTGCCACAGGTAAAGCGGGAGGATGAGGGCTGTCAGTGTCCCACCGCTGCAAAGGGGTCTTATTATACGCAAGAGATCCAAAAAAGAGTGCTATGCCCCCTGCCATAGATGAAGGCACTTTGCCTGTGTTCAGATGAGCTTTTATAATAGCAGATACATTGGGCCCTTATTACATTCAGTGGCAGGAGTCTGCAGCTCCTGAGACACGGTGCAGTGCTTTAAAGCAGTGGTTCTAAATTTTTTTTTTTTTTTGTATTGGGACCCATTTGTAAACATCACTGGCTAGTCCCAACCCAGTAAATAGTTTAAGTAGAAAAGAGTCCCCTGGCCCTGCTGGTGCACTTCACTCCCAACCCACTGTCCTCTGCCGCAGTTCCCCAGTGTGTGGGGCGGGTTGGGAGGAAGTGTGGGCCATGGGGGTCCCCAGCAGCCTCTTGCAGGCTGGAACTCTGCCAGCTTGCAAGGGAAAGCCCATGGTTTCCCAGGTTTTTGTCCTTTTAAAGGAGAATCCATTTTTAAAGTTTGTTCGCAACCCTTTCATATGTTCTTGCAACCCACTTTTGGGTTGTGACCCATGGGTTGGGAAACTCTAGTTTAAAGGACTTGTCCTCTTTCCCAGTACAGAAATGTAGATTAGTAAGAAAGAGCTCAGAATAACCCCAAGCTGTCTGCTGCATAGTTTATTATATTCTTATAGATCCATTTTGCTGTCTGACCACTATGCTTTTCTGATCCATATTTGTGGGAAGATGAAGAACAGGACAGTACAAGGATCTTTCACTCTGGAACTTGTTGGGTTGGGTTTTTTTCCCCCCTGCAGTTGAGCAATAAGACGCATTGGGAGTCTGCACATTCGATCAGATTGATGCTATGGCAGTGATGTTGGACTTTGTTGTTTGCTGCCTTTAAGTTTTAGGACTTGAGGTTTAAGGATCAAGGTGACATGTAGTAATTACATTTTTGAGCTGACCCAAGGGTGGTCTTGTGAACCCCAGCAAAGGGATGCAAGGCTCTCTAGAGCAGGAAAGAGAAATAGGGGGATAAAGCAGGCTGGCTGTAGACTCTGCTCACAATAATTCTTACCTATAGCATTGTATCTCTGCTGACGTTTCTAAGGCATTCTGCTTGTTGTATTATGTAGGTACTGTGTCCCAACTTGGCCAACAACAAATTTCAGAAACTAACCATTGCCCAAAGATTTTAATACTTATAGACCTAAGGATTGAAAAAGGTTTCCTGGTTGTACAAATACCAAAGTATGATTTTATTGCATTTTTTATGTTACTTCTTTACTAATTGAGGGTATTTCTGTGTTGCAGTATTAGCATCACTACCTCTTGCTATCCCCTTCCTTCAATCTGTTTCCGAGATCCTGTGAGCGACTGGTTCGAAAGCCTGGCTGAGTGTTTACACTGGAATGTTCGGAAGAAGCAGAATAACTTTGCTGTTGAAGAAGAAGAATTTTGAATGTTGAAAGCTAATGATGCTCATGTGGTTTAATGTGGCAGTATCCCTTGTTTAAAAAAAAAAAAAAAAAAAAAAAAAAGTTTTGGGTTTAAAGCCTGTAGTTCCTGGGAATAAACACAATAGGCACATATTTTAAACAGTGCTGTACCTCATAGCAGTCTGATCTGCTGATGACCAGAAGTGATCATGTTACATCCAATCCCCTGGCAGTAGGAATTCAAGGTTTAAAAATCTGACTTTTGCCAGCTAAACTTAATTTTTTTTTAATTTTAAAATTTTAAATTGGGTTGATATTGCTAATCAGCAGGGCCATCCCTGGGGGGCGGGGCATGAATCAGGGCAACCATCCTGGGCTCCGCACTTTCTGGGGCCCCATGGAGTCAGGCGGAGCGGCTGTAGCGCATCTGCGCCACTGCTGCCAGCTTCGCATCCAGCCGCTTGCTACCCTGCCTCCGTGCTGCCGGCGCTACCACCATTGGCTTCTTCATATCCAGGGTGCACAGGATTGGGTCGGGGTAGGGCCCCATGCGAGCTGATTTGCCCTGGGCCCTGCACCCTGTTCAGGTCAGCTGTGCTAATCAGTATCCAAAACACCTACAATCTTGATTGTAACCAGCAATTTGCAAAGTGGCATGGTAGGTTGTATACATAAATAATAGAAAAGTGAATTAAAATATTCCAGTTAGTTTGGTATATTTGTTATTCTCTGTTAAGATTTCTCTTCCTTTAAAACAAAGGAATCTTGCTCAGAATGCCTTCCCATTGAGACAGCACTTAAATCCTTTGCCTTTACATGCAAGTGTGGCAAGAATTTTGGAGGGAAGAAAGAGTTAGTTATACTGATTAAACTCTTTATTTTTAGTAGTTAAAACTGTTGAAAACCCTCTTATTTCTGCCACTTAAATTAACATTGTCTGGCCTTATCACTGTTCTTATCATCCAAAAAGACAGGGTTGACTAGACAGTTGGTAAAATGTTACTCTATCAATGTGTACATTAACTGATTTATCCTCAGCAGTTCCCTGCTTTTTCAGCATGGTTGGGAGCTTTAGAAAGGTGTAGAATTTTTGTAATCCCTGAAATAAACATCATTTGAGATTTGTAAATGACAAACTTTTGCCAGAGCCAGAAGAGCCTGGACTTGGACTACTACTATGTTGTCTAAAATCACTGACCACTAATGCTGTTGCTTATTCTGAGAAATATGAGCATTGTAAATTAGGACCTGAATGCCCTTAACTCCCCATTGAAGTCGAAGGGTGCTCAGTACTCAAGGGTTGGGCCCTTGAGTAACAAGAAGGGGATACTGCATTGGTAGGCTGATCAGAAACAGGACACATTCCCAGCATAGTAGCGATGGTGCCTTCAGCACACTTCAAGATGTTTTAAGTCTTGTATGTACTTTTTTAAGATTCTTTCAAATGTTTCTAACTTGTTTATGTACATAATTTTATTGTACATGCTTTTATGAAGATAAGTAGTTTAAAAAAAGGGTTTGTACTGAGCTTTTACTAAGAAAAAAAAGATCAAACCCAGTTATAATGTTTACATTAATGTTCTTTGTGGTGTAGTCTCTCACTACCATGCTATCCTAATCCTAATATTTTCAAATAACCTCTGCATAGACCATTAAAGGGATGGACGATCTCTGCTAGTCTTGCAGTATAAGGCATGTTATGGCAGAGGAATCTGTTTCTTCTTGATTAAGTGTGGGGTTTTCTGCAACTGAAATGAGTTCTGTTGAACTTTTCATGGTTGTCTTACTCTTGTTTGTGTGGGCAGGGTTAATAATGGGAAATGTACTAATTCCCATGCTCTACCTAGCCTGAAGTCCTCTGAGTTAATATCTCTTCCTTGTTGGATGTTGCCCTAGTATGTTTAATTTTGTCCAGTTAAGATGAGAGCAAATTGTAGCTCTCCACTAATGATGTATAGCGCACTAAAATTGTGTTAATATAAATTGATGTTCAATTTGTAAATACTTTGTAAATTAGACTATTGTTTAGTTTGGTCTGGACAAGCAGAACGTGTAATGTTATCTTTGAGCATGTTCAGATATCTTTGGAGCTTTTGTTTTGTGTGTGTGTGTGTGTTTTTTTTTTTTTTTTTTTCACTTGAATTTACAGTAACTATTTTATCACTGTTTAAAGCTGCTTACGGGTTTTCTAGACAGTATTCAGTTTCTGAATAGCTGTTTTCTTTCTGAGCTATAGAAACATATTTTGCTTTGAAAAATATACATTTCCGTATTTAAACATGCAATAACTGAGAAAGGAACAGGGTAAAGCCTTTAATTTTCAGTGGAGGTATAAATATCCTGATAAATGAATATAAGCCAGAAGGCTTAGTAAGATAGGAAGTGGAAATAACCCGTTGAAGTGGTGGTAAGGCAAAATGAGTAAGAAAGAGCCTTATACTGAACTTACAATTTTTTAAAAACTAAAATTGCATCTTCAGCACCTTTTTTTTTTTTTTTTTTTTTTCATTTGTGCTATTTTTTTATAATAGTAAACATCTTTCATGACATGGAACAGATTATGGAACATTAATTTTCAGAGTGTACACTTCCTAAAATGTAATTTCTAAACATATCCTATGTAACTACTCCTTCCAAATTGGACTTATGCAGTTTTATTAAATTTAATTTAACATGCAGAGGCAATTGCATTATTTGGCTCCGAGTGCATTTCTTCATAGTTTCACTTGTGAAAGGCACCTTTTCTTCCCACTTAGTGACAAAATCTTGTTTGGATCGCTAGCCAGCTGAAATGAAAGCTACAATCAGAGAGGTCTGGAAAGTCATGTTTGGATGCATGCTCCTGCTTTAACTTTGGAAAAAGTTATTTAATCCTGTTTTCTTACTAGTTTTTTGTAAACAAAGTGACTCAAATGATATGCATTAATACTAGAGCTTTGTCTGTACTTGAAAAGTTTTGCCCACGTGGTTATGTTGGATGGGAGTATAATTCTCTCTAGCTGTAGTTGTCATCAAAAATCTTTTGAAGATTCATTTATACTAGAAAAAAATTCAATTTGGCTGCTTAACTTATTCCATTTGGGGAACTGGTTTCAAGTGTACCAGGAGAAGTTGATACATACTGTATCTCTCCTTTGATGATGTAAACCAGCCGCCCTTTTAAGTTTAGACAAGGTGTAAATGGAGACTTGTAAAGCATTTGTTTAAAGAAAAGGCAGTGGTGATTTCCAGTAAAAGCCTTGAAAATAAGGAAGAAACATTGGAAGTTATTGCAGTACTGAAACTGATGTATGGTATAATTTGAAGTGCACTGAACTTATTATTTTTTTAAATATCCTGATGTTTCATACTGTTCATTTATATTGTTGTAGTAAGAAAACTTCTCTATGGATTTATTTCTCTTGCAAATTGAAACCCCACCTACAACTTTCATTAAAAAGATATCACTGCTCTCTTTCACTGACATAACAGTCAG